AATGTTACTTGAGTATCGTACTCAAGTAAATTTATTAAGTTTCTTTACAATTCTGCTCAGTCGCTATAAATGTATTTTGGTGGCTAAAGAAATACTGCACAACCATACAAAATAAATCACATTAATTTATACACAGAAATAAAATTGCTTAAATCTGGATAATCTCTCATATTGTTATGTATATCCCTAGTAAATTTTTCTAAATCCACCTCCGTAAACAAAGACACAAACATCCTTCGCATGTTCACTTCCCAAGCATAAATTTCTGGGTATTCACTATCTTCCCAAATATCTAGGTTCATAGCCTGCATAAATTGACACAAATCAGTAAATGGATTACCTGTGCTTACATAATTTTCATCTACATCACTCAACCACTGACTGGTATACATCATCAGGGTAGATTCTTTTTTCCTATATAAGTCTATTACATCATTTGTTTTCTTGGACTCAAAAGTTTCTATTTTTAAGACATTTTCAGATTTAATGTCTGAATCAGCCAGACCATTCTGAATGGAACTTTTATCATCATTTAATGAATCATAAACTCCTGAAGTATCTAAAAAATGTCCATGATTTTCTCGTTCATTATTGACAATATCTGGAAAATATATAATCTCTTCAGGTTCCATTTTGATACTTATGGTTGCACTATGATCTGAGAGTCCAGGGGTAACCTGTGGATTACATTCACCAGCTTTCTCAATGGGGGTATTGTCTTTATGATTGCCAGACAATTTCCTCCTTTTTGTCTCACTTTCATTATTGTCTTCATGATTGCCAGACAATTGTTTCCTCTTTGTTTCTCTTTTCTTGTTGTCTTCCTGACTGTCTGATGATTTCCTCTGTTCATCTTCACTTTTCTTACTGTCTTCCTGACTGTCTGATGATTTCCTCTGTTTATCTTCACTTTCATTATTGTCTTGATGACTGCCAGGCAATTTCCTCCTTTTTGTTTCACTTTTCTTGTCTTCATGACTGTCAGACAATTTTTTCCTCTTTGTTTCACTTTTCTTATTGTCTTCCTGACTGTCTGATGATTTCCTCTGTTTATCTTCACTTTCATTATTGTCTTCATGACTGCCAGACAATTTCCTCCTTTTTGTTTCACTTTTCTTATTGTCTTCATGGCTGTCAGACAATTTTTTCCTCTTTGTTTCACTTTTCTTATTGTCTTCCTGACTGTCTGATGATTTCCTCTGTTTATCTTCACTTTCATTATTGTCTTCATGACTGCCAGACAATTTCCTCCTTTTTGTTTCACTTTTCTTATTGTCTTCATGGCTGCCAGACAATTTTTTCCTCTTTGTTTCACTTTTCTTATTGTCTTCCTGACTGTCTGATGATTTCCTCTGTTTATCTTCACTTTCATTATTGTCTTCATGACTGCCAGACAATTTCCTCCTTTTTGTTTCACTTTTCTTATTGTCTTCATGGCTGTCAGACAATTTCCTCCTTTTTGTTTCACTTTTCTTATTGTCTTCATGGCTGTTAGACAATGTTTTCCTTTTTGTTTCACTTTTCTTATTGTCTTCCTGACTGTTTGAAGATTTCCTCTGTTTATCTTCACTTTCATTAGGTTTAGGTTTTCTTTTATTATGGCTAGAAGTGGACCTTTGAGACTCCTCTTCTGATCCCTTATCTGAATTACTTCTCTTGTGTTTTGATTTCTTTCTTTTGTGGTTGTGAGATCTGGAACTCTTCCTGTCTTTCTCATTATGTTTTACCCTCTTGTCTTTCAACTCAATGTCATTGTTGTTTTCATTTTCACTCAGTTTGCCCTCCTTACTCAGCCAGTTATTCACACTTCTCTGCTTATCAGTAGTACCATCCTCTTTGTCATTCACACAACTCGTCAGCCTGTTATTCACACCAATTCCACAATCTTCTTCCATACATGGAGTATTTAATAGCTCTGTATCATGGTGTATATTATATTTTGAGTTGATTTCCTTCTTCCTGTTAACATCATTACCCTCCAGCAAACTACTTGCAGTTAAAGGACTAATTAAATTTTCAGGCATACTTGTCCCTGGTGTCTGAAGAGGTGTGACAAATCTGTCTTCTGGTACTTGATGCCGTGATAGGTAACTTTCAGGAATTTCTTGCTGTGACCCAAATGTACCAGCTGAACCGAGATCAAAACTTTGACCTTTTAAAACCTTATCAGAGCTCAGCTGACAGTTTTTAAGTAAATGAGAATCCCCACCATCAGCATCTTCTTCAGAACTTTGGTGTTTGAAATTGACAGAAATTGGATTATCTGATGTTAAATTACTATAATCCCTTTGTCTAGGTCTTATTTCTCTTTGCCACCCAGTTTTCAAAATATGTTCTTTATTTTTTAACAGAAAACTTGAAAGCCCTAATGAGGTCGACTTAAAAAATATTTCTTTTATGAGCTTTTCTTTAGTATATCGATTAGTAAAACCCCGGAACAAAATTTGATTACTCTTCTTCCTATTGTGGTGATGGTAGTCTTCCTTTCTGTTTCCATGCGTTCTCCTCTCCATATGCTTGTCCAATTTGCTATGATAGGAATCTTTTGATCTTTGCTGTGAATGACTGTCAATATTAGTGGTTGATTTGTCTGAAAGTGAGTTCAGGGCACATTCAAACATTGCCTCTTTTCTGCTCATTGCAAAACTGTTGTAAATGTGTTAGTACTGTCCATGGATAAGTTCAACAATTTCCTCTTGTTACTGTAAGTGTGTCACAATATAAGCCAGAGCAGCCTTTGTAATTATCGAGAGGCAGTTACTCGCATTCATTCATCTGTAGGTTTTGAATCTATGCAGCCAGGAGTTCCAGTTCTCTGTGGCATTGATGTGACGCCATTCGGTTTTTTGTGTGCTGAATGGAATTACTTCACCAGTCAATCCCAGCCCTGTGGACAAAACATTAATGGTATATTATGCTTCATAATGACAAAATTTTACAATTGATATTTTAAGTTAAACTATAATTCCAGCATTTTTAGATTTTTATATACAAATGAAAAAAAGAGTAAAGAGCAATGAACTATCACATGTCAGACAGTAAATGCAGCAGTGAAGATCATGAGATATAGAAGAGTTCCACAGAATAAAAGAGACTGTGATGGTGGAAATAAGACAGAGTTATTATATCCCTATTGATGTATACTACAGTACAGTATAGTCTGGATTTACGCGGTTTTTGTTTACGCATTTGGTCATTTACGCGGCACCGTGCCAGAAATGTTTTAATTAAGCGATAAATTTCATCATTTACGTGGGTGAAGTATAATTTGTTTATTTACTGAAGATATTTGTTTTTAGCTCATAAAATATATAATTTACATTACTGGAATTCTTATAAGATGGCGATTATTTTAAATATAAACAATCCTAAAATTTGCATTAGACATACAAATTTTAGAGAGAATTTAAGAATTTTATTAGAAAGAACAAAAAATTTATCTTTTGTGCCACCATGACCACCAACACTCATCATTACTACCACCACCACCAACACTTACCACCATGACCACCAACACTCACCACCATGACCACCAACACTCACCACCATGACCACCAACACTCACCACCATGACCACCAACACTCACCACCATGACCACCAACCTCACCACCCAGGACCACAGCCTCCATCACCATGACCCTGCCTCACCACCAGGACAACAATACTCACCACCAGGACCACCAATACTCATCACCATGACCACCAACACTCACCACTATAACCACCAACACTCATCACCAGGACCACCAACACTCACCACCAGGACCACCAATACTCATCACCAGGACCACCAACACTAATCACCACTACCACAAAGACTTATCACCACCACCAACACTCACTACCACCACCACCAACATTTATCACCACCACCAACACCACTTATCATCACCACCACTAACATTCACCGCCACAACTGGTGTTTACAGGATGAGAACGAGCAGACGACCAGAATAAATAAAGTCACTCTAGAGGAACTACAGTATACTTAACAACACGTCATGATACTGGCTGGTTGTAAGTGTTGGTGGTGTGGTGATGGTGATGTTATTATAGTAGTAGTGATAGTGAGGTAGTAGTAGTGTTAGTAGTGATAGTGAAGTGTTGAGAATGAATTATAGTAGTGTTAGTAGTGATGGTGAAGTAGTGATAGTGAGTGTTGAATGAGTGTGGTAGTGTTGAAATGTGATAGTATTGATAGTAAGTATTGAAATATTAGTAGTGATAGTGAAATGTTAGTAGTGATAGTAGTGTTAGTAGTGATAGTGGAGTGTTGAATGATATGTTATGTTGGTCATGGTGGTGTTAGTGGTGATGGTGAGTGTTGGTGGTGATGGTAGTCATTAGTGGTGTGAGCAGTGTGTGATGTTGCATGTTGGTGGTGGTGGTGAGTGTGGTGGTGATGGTGAGTGTTGTAGTGATGATGGTGTTGGTAGTGTGTGTGATGTGTGTGTGATGGTGAGTGTTAGTGGTGATGGTGTGTCGTGAGTGTTGATCGTGATGGTGTGCAATGAGTGTTGCTGGTGATGGTGAGTGTTGATGGTGATGGTGGTATTGGTGGTGATGGTGAGTGTTGCTGGTGATGGTGTTGGGGTGATGGTGAATGTTTAGTCGTGATGGTGGAGTGTTAAGTGCCGTGATGGTGTGTGCAAGTAATGATGGTGGTGTTGGTGGTGATGGTGAGTGTTGCTGATGATGGTAGTGTTGGTGGTGATGGTGAGTGTTGGTGGTGATGGTGAGTGTTGGTGGTGATGGTGGTATTGGTGATGGTGAGTGTTGGTGGTGTGGTGGTGTTGGTCATTGATGGGTGTTATGCTGAGTGATGATGGTGGGTGTTGCTGAGAGTGATGGTGGTGTTGGTGGTGATGGTGAATGTTGGTGGTGATGGTGAGTGTTGGTGGTGATGGTGGTATTGGTGATGGTGAGTGTTGGTGGTGTGGTGAGTGTTGGTCGTGATGGTGTATGCTAGTGATGATGGCGGAGAGTGTTGCTTGCTGGTGATGGTGAGTGTTGGTGGTGTATGGTGGTGTTGGTCGTATTTGGTGTATGTTGGTGGTGATGGTGAGTATTGGTGATGGTGGTGTTGGTGGTGTGGTGAGTGTTGGTCGTGATGGTGAATGTTGGTCGTGATGGTGGTGTTGGTGGTGAATGTTGGTGGTGTGGTGAGTGTTGGTCGTGATGGTGAATGTTGGTCGTGATGGTGAGTGTTGGTGGTGAGTGTTGGTGGTGTGGTGAGTGTTGGTCGTGATGGTGAATGTTGGTCGTGATGGTGAATGTTGGTCGTGATGGTGAGTGTTGGTGGTGAATGTTGGTGGTGATGGTGTGTGCTAGTAATGATGGCGAGTGTTGATGATGGTGAATGTTGGTCGTGATTGTTTATGCTGCTATACGTCGAGATAAGTTTATTTATCTAGAAACAGGGCCGCCATTAGCAGTGACTACACTACTTTCAAACTCACAGCTGCAGTTGGAGGTAGTGCAAAGGATGGCCTCTTCAGACCCCAAATACCAAGTTCAGTTAAGTTTTAAGGGTGTTTTTTTAATGGTTTAAGTCATGGACATTTGGTAGGTGAAGAAATGTGACGTGAAGAACAGCTTCAAACAGAGGTTGGATGGATATACGAGCGATAGGGGTTGGGTGTAAATGGGACTACCCAGAATGGGCCAATAGGCCCGCTGCAGTTTCCTCCATTCTTATGGACTTAAAAAACTCCCATGTTCACACCAGCTCAGCTGTCATGTACTCTTACCTGGTAGACTTAACCTTTTTTTTTCAATGCATTTACAGAGTATATCAATACTAGATGGAAATACAAGTAAATTTAAAAGTACTTTGTTTTGAGAATGCCTGGTGCTATTTAACATGACAACAGAGTGCTGTTATTGTTTTGATGATTCACTTATGAACCACTGGGATATATCATTTATATTAATTAATGGGTAAAATTTACTTTAACTACCATAAGTATTTTATGTTTAGATTCGAGATAGGTTATACTGTATTGGGTAAATTTTAAGTTTTAATCATCCCTGCACTTAAGACATGCAGGGATCCTTGACCACCGTAGGGTCGAGACCTATTCAGGCGCTGCTACTGCTGAACAGCGGCCCCCCTTGGCCAATGTTCGGCCCATTCCCGAAGTCCCTCTCCCCAACTCATCCTCACCACCGGGATATCAACATAATCAAAAGTGACAATTTCATTTCGGAAAGAAGTGGGACCAGTGTTGAACAGTGTTTAAGCCTGTGAATTCAGCACTAGACAGTACCAGTGAGAGCCGTGACCCACCAGTGGGATAAGCACCCCTGGGAACTGACTGCCGTCTTTTGACCAGGATGTGCTAATCAATCCACCATGGGAACACCAAAGGGCCGGCCGGCTATGCATCTGACTACGAAATAACACAACACCACCCAGCAGGGCGAGTTACTGTGACACCACCCCCACACCACCCAGTGTCCCCATGACCACGTGAGGTCCTTCATTTCAACACCAGAGAAAGAGTTACTACACCACGTGAGCACCACACTACCAGGTGTCCCCATGACCACGTGAGGTCCTTCATATCAACACCCGAGGATGAGTTACTACACCACGTGAACACCACACCGCCCAGTGTCTCCATGACCACGTGAGGTCCTTCATTTCAACACCTCAGGACGAGTTACTACACCACGTGAACACCACACTACCTGGTATCTCCATGACCACTTGAGGTCTCATATCAACATCAGAGGACGAGTTACTACACCACGTGAACACCACACCACCTGGTATCTCCATGACCAGTCCAGGCCGGGGCCATCAACTGTAAACTATAATAATTTGTATGTTCAATCATTTTTCCTTCTCCTTTCAGTAATGAAAGCTTTTGTTAAACGACCCTCCCACGCCATGTCTTTGTATGTAACAAGTCATTTTTGTCCAATGTATATTTTCAGCCTTCAGGCTGCTGAACTTTTTCAATAAAGCGTTAATTATTATTATTACTATTATTATTACTTTTGTTTTCTGATGGGTTGCGATGTGTTATGAATGATTTAGATCTTTATTTCTATCGGTAATCACTAGTTTTGAGGTGAGTTTTTGCTTATAAAATGTCACTGAACTGACCTGGGAGATTATAATTTACATTGCTGGGATTCTTATAAGAATGTGATTAATTTTAGTTTAAACATGCTATACAGTAGTTTGCACTAGACATAAAATTTTGAGTTTGAAATTAGAAATTTTAACCTAATCCCAGGGTAATCCCCATACAGTTGAAACCGCATAAGAAAAATACACGTTGCAGAGTAAAGCACAATTAATTATCTAATATTTATTTACAGAGCCAATCAGCCGAGAAGGTTGGACAACCAGTGACGTTACAACCAATCACAGAGCTTTTCGCAGTCACGTGACATTTTAGCAATTTTAACCCTTATTTCTTATACTTTTTGGCACAATTTATTTAAAAATATAATTATCATAGTGAATTTAAGCGTTTTCTTTACCCATTGACTTGCCATCTTACGAAAAAATTCCGATCTTCAACAGAATACACAATAGTGTATTCTGGGCAAATATTGTGGAGCATGATTACGGGTTATGGTGGAGAGAAACACGCATGACTCATGAACCCACGAGTAGAGTAAATAGATTAAGTGGATGAGCCACCTTCCTGACGAGTCACGAGTGATTTTCTCGGTTAACACATAATTTTGGGTTTTCCTGTATGTGCATACCATTGGACAGGTTATTAGTTACAATCTCTGGGTTCTGTGCATTATGTCGAAGTTAGAATTAATATTTCTAGGTTAGGACATGTTATGACTGATCCATATGAATTATTTTGTCTGGTGCAATTAATATATTTTTATATTGTGCAAGTAATATCTTTTAATATCTTTGTTGTGCAATTAATGGTGGTGTATGATG